TTCTCTTGTTTTTCTTCCTTTTTTTTTTTTTTTTTTTTGGCTTGTCTGTAGTTTCTAATGTTCAAACAGTATGTATCACTCATGAAATGGGGATTTAAAAAAAAAGAGAGAATGGTATACTCAAAGCAAGTATGCCAAAGCAAGGCCAGTCTAGTAGCTTGGTGGTTAAGGGAGTCAGATCACACAAGGTCCACTGCATTGGAATCCTGAACCCAAGCGCTTGAAAGACAGAATGTGCCCAAAATCCTAACAGGAAGGAGGAATGGAGGGAAAAGGATTGTAGTATACCTTTGGTGGTGCTTTCTATCTCTTATGTTTTTTTGTTTTTGTTTTTTTCTTTCCTCTTCTGTTTTTTTCTCTCTCCTCTTTCTCGGGTGAGCACATACGCTCTCTGACAATAAAAATACATATTAAAGCAAAACAAACCAAAACAAATACTGATCAAGCTTATTAAATGATAAAGCTACTTAACATGAAGAAGAAACTAAATTTTAAAAAAATTCATATAACTGTGTATGAGGATTTTAAATGATTTTCTGCCACCCTGTGGGGTATTTGACACATTGCAGAACCAAAATCAGCAAAACCAAGAATTATGAAAAATCTGTAACTGAAGATGAAATTTTCTTACAGGAGCATGGCCTAAGAAGTTGTTTAGTTAATGTTGTATTGATCAGTTTTGTGCTATCTGCTGCTATTTAATAAAATTGCTAGAATAAGAGGGAAATAATACCTAACACTTAACTCATATGTATAAGCTTTAAGCTCACAAGAACACGAAGTAGGTATCATTTTACCTACTTTATAGGTGAGGCCCAGAACATTTAACCGGCGGACAAATGTTTTCTGAAGCTTTGTGCATTTGTGCAGCTGCTCTAGAGCGCTGCATTTTTCTGGTCAATGATTTAAATTTGTTAGCTTCTCCATTCCTCTCAGGCTCAATAATTCCCCAAATGGAATTACTCAATTGGTTGACTGCTGGGCCTGTATACTAATTTAGTAGATAAAACGTCTTAAAGTGATTATTTTGTTCTACAACTTTTGTTACCGGTCCACAGTTAGATAGGTTTAGAAGTTAAGATTCAGCCCCTGACCTGAACCCTAACCTAACCCTGACTCTAACTCAAACCATAATAGTAAAAAAAAATGAAGTTAAGATTCAGCCTTTAGAAACCTTGGGAACTAGCAGTTAGTGTAATGGCTACGTCTCTGGACTCCCACGTAGTCGACCGCGGTTCACATCCCAGACCCGGTGGCTTAAAACTCACGCCGGGCACGTGTGCGTACGTGCCCAAGATCCTGAGAGGAGAATGGAGGAGAATGGATTGTGGCATGACCATCCCCCCTGGGGGGTGATTTCTCATTTTCTGTCTCTATGTCTCTCTCTGTCTGTCTGGCGAGCATACGCGCCCTATAGCAAAAAAAACTCTCTCTCTCAAAAAAAAAAGAAATCTTTATGGCAATTTTATAAGTCACTTTTTTATTGTTTTGCTATATGTACTCACAAACAAGAAAGACAAAGACAGTGAGAGAGGAAAATGAGAAATCACTACCCGGGGGCATGGCCACACTGCAATTCCATCTCCTCCATCCTCCTGCTGGGATTTTGGGCAAGCATACATATGCAACTGGTGTGTTTTTTGTTTGTTTGTTTTTGAGAGAGAGAGATTTTGTGTTCGCTGGAGACAGAGAGACAAAAAGCGAGAAATCATCCCCCAGGGGATGGCCACACTGCAATTCCCTCTCCTTCATTCTTCTCTTGGGATTTTGGTTGGGATTTGGGGCACCATGCACACGTGCCCAGCCAGTTTCAAACCACCAGTCCCGGGACTCACAGTGGATCATGTGGGAGCCCAGCACTTTAATCACTACGCCACCTGGCCCTGCCTAGCGAGATTTTTAAGCCACCAGGTCCAGGATTGGAACCACAGTAGGCCTTGTGGGAGTATAGAGACTTAATCGCTGTGCAATCTGTGGGCCCCATTTTTTTTAGAAGTTTTTGCCTTGGGGCTCATTCACTCACCTGAGAAAGAGACAGAGACATTGAGAGGGAAAGTGAGAAATCATCCCCCAAGGGGATGGCCACACTGCAGCCCTTTCTCCTCCATTCTCCTCCTGGGATCTTGGGCATGCACCTATACCATCTATTGCCCCCTTTTTAAAGAGCTTTCTGCTATAGGGAGCCTGAACTCCAAAGAGACAGAGAGACAGAAATAGAGAAATCATCCACCGCAGCAGCAGCAATGCCTTCTCCTTTCTCCTTGGGAGATTTTGGGGACACAGGAGTTTCAAGCTACGAGGTCCAGGACTCCAATGGTGGTTGACTCCAGAGGGAGTCCAGCGCCTTAACCGCTATGCCTTTACAGGTAATTTTTTTAAAGAGATTTTTGCTATAGGGTGAGTGGGCTCCTGGACGAGACAGAGAGACAGAAAGTGAGAAATCAGCTCCTAGGGAGATGGCCACTCTGCAATCCCTTCTCCTCCATTCTCCTCTAGGGATCTTGAGCATGCACTAACGGCGGGACTCAACTGCTGTTGACTATGTGGGAGTCCAGCGACATAACCATTGTGCCATCTGCTAGTCCCTACAGGTACTCTTATAGCTGTTGACTATTAGTAAAATCTTTTGACTTGTTCTCAATTTTTTTGTTTATTTTAGTTTTCTATTTTATCCACGGACTGTCCACAACTAACTGGGAATCTTGAAAAATAAACTGATCGTTTCTACAGAATTGAGACGGGACCCCACAGGGTTGTTCTGGCTGGAGCACCTTATCACTCAGTGTAGGCCCCCAAATCGAGGCCTTGGGTCATTGTCCTGTGTTTCACCCGGTTTATAACATACAGCTATGGTAATGTACAAACAGGCAGAAATAAAATATTGAAATGAGTGTCGTTGATTCCACGGCCTCGACCCTGGAGGGAGGGAAGGGCGAAGAGGGCGTCGCGCCACCAGAGACACTTTTAACTAGGCGCGAAGGACGGCGGGTTGTTCGTGCGCATGCGTGTGGGAGTCCGCGACGGCTGAGGGGGCGGGGAAGGCTGTGGGGTTTGCGGAGACGCCACGCCTCCGTCTCCGCCCACTGCTGCGCTCGGGGCAAGTCGGGATGTGGTCACTTCCGGTGGAGCTGAGCACTGCGTCCGGGTCAGCTGTTGCTGTCGCCGCCGCTGGAGCTGGGGCCGGAGGACCGGGTTGGGGTCTACACTGCCGACCGAGGGGAGCAGGCTCCGCTCGGCGCCACCTTTTGCGACCTGGCCGTCAGCCCCACGTCGCCGGCCTGGAGGGGCGAAGAGGACGAGGGAGCCAAGGCTTCCTCCGGGGTGAGTGCGGCCTGGGGGCACTCGGCACGATGGGTTTCGGCTGGAAAGGGGCCCGGGGGTTCACGTCTGAGGGGTGCGTGCACACGGCCGGCCAGGAAGAGGAAGCCCAGGGGGCTGTCTGTTGTAGGGGCGCCGAAGAACTTAGTCGGGAGGCACTTTCCGGATCCCGCCCGCCTTAGGTCTCCGCCCTTGGCTTGGCTCCTGTTTGCGTGTTCCAACATTGCCCCCCACCTTTTCCGTTTGTGGGGTTGTGCGCAGGATGGAACCTTCCTGGTTCTGCAGCCCCCCTCCCACCTCGACTGGGTGCGGTGACCGGGCTACGTCGGTTCCGTATTTTTGACCAGCGTCGGTGCTGGTGCAGAACAAAGAAACTTGGACTTCTGTGTGCCTCCTACCCTCCGGGAGTGGACACGGAAGCAGCCTAAGGAGTTAAGGACTTTACTAGACCTTCCCGACCAAGCCAAACCGACCCGACGTGTGCTTAAAAAGTCGAGTCCCTGCATGGGTTTATGACACTATTTTTTCTGTTTAAATACTTAGCAAAAATGGTTTGGGTTTCCTGGGTGCAGGTGCGTTTGATGCCACTAGAGAGCTAGTAGATCCATCCATGTTAAATCCGAAATTTATTAGGGTCTTTATTTGTTTTGTTTTAGAAATATTACTTATTTAATTTTATTTGTTATTACTTTTTTTAAAAATGTGACCAGCCAGAGGGAGAGAGGGAAAGTGACAAACCAAGCCACCAAGTCCGGGACTTGAACCCCAGTCAGCCGTGTGAAAGTCCAGCACCCTAACCACCATGCGACCATCTGGCCCCTGTTAGGGTCTTTATTACTTTGCTTTAAAACTTCTTTGTCTGTCTCACCTGGGAATAGCTTTAACCATGTTCATTAAGGTACTCTTAGTGTCTCTCATTCTGTTAGTTGAATGAAGTGTATAATGACGTTTTATTACTGCTTTTTTCATCTTCTGTGTGTGTGTGTTAGAGGTTTTTGCTTAGGGATGAGGCGTGTGGGCTCACTGGGGAGGAGAAGAGAGGACTAGAGACAGAAGGAAAGTGACAAATCATCACCCAGGTGATTTCTGCAGCCATGCCAGTCCCTTCCTCATTCTCCCCTGGGATCTTGAGCACACGAAAGCACCCAGTGTGTGTTTTAAGTCACCAGGTTCATGGCTCGAACCGCTTTCCGCCCTGTCGGAGTCTAACGGCATACGCCGTCTACTGGCCTCATCTCCACCTCCTTATGATTAGAAAGAATCTTATTTCTTTAATACTTGATTCCTTACCTGTTTTTTAAATGTATCTTTACAATATTTCTTGAGAATTTCTGCAGTTGTAGGAAGTTTTGTAATTTGTAAATGTATATCAAAATTAGTTTTAGTTATCCAGTGAAGTAACTGCAGGCTAGTTTCTTGATCATCTTACACATTTTCTCCTTAGTTTTTGTCATTTTACCTTTTCTCTAAACTCTATTCCTAGTTTTCATAATCTTCACTAGTGTAGTCTAATGTTGTTGGGCTTAGGAAGTAGAGTAGCTCCATTTCAGCAAAAAACAGAACTTGAACTGTAGTAGACTATCATAAATCACTGCTATCGTGGGCTTTAGGCCTTTCAGGACCTTCCAAGCTACATGTAACCAGATCTGGCCCTAAAGGCTAGTTTTGTATAAAGTTGCCAACCAAATGGATACAGTGTGCTGTCTTAGAAACAGTTCTAGACTAGGTCTGGGAGCCGCTGTGTGGTGTGTCACTTGTCTCCTATATAAGATAAAATGGGGATAATAACTTCAGTGTTCCATATCTCACAGTTGTTGGGACACATGAGATGATGGATGTGGAAGTGGTTAGAAGTTGTGAAAGCCCTCTGGTAAACTGGTTTTATACGTTCTAGAGTATTGCTGGTAGAATCTGTGACGAGGGGACCGGCATCTGAGAAAGTAAGTGTACATTGACAGATCAATAAATCAGTCTTGGCTGACAGTGGATCGAAAGATGTCTTGTTGACCTTGTGTCCTATAAATTAGGTAGTAGTGTAATTTGATAATATAATATCCCAACATTATAATTTTATAATCAACTAACATTTATAATTAATTAAGAAATTGGTTAGTGGACCATTAGGTGGCACCGCCACACTGGACACTCTCACATGGATGACCTTGGTTCAAGTCCCAGACCTGGTGGCTTGCATTCTCACTCTCTTTCTCAGTGTGTGTGTGTGTGTGTGTGTGTGTGTGTGTGTGTGTGTATCTTTCTCTGGTCAAATTAAAATAAATGAATTAATAAATAAAATTAAAAATAAATAATTCTTTAAAAAAAAGAAATCAGTTAGTAGATTTTGTAACTTTTTCTTTTTTAGGTTTTTGCCATAGGGCATGTGCACTAGCCAGAGAGACAGGGACAGAGAGAGGGAAAGTGAAAAATCATACGCTAGGAGGCACAGCCATGCCACAATCCCTTCTCCTCCATTCTCCTCTCAGGATTTTGGACCTGGTGTGATTTTCAGGCTACCTGGTCCAGGATTCAAACCACTGTCCACCATGTAGGAATTCAGTGTCTTAACCACCACCCCACCTGTTGGCCCCAACTTAAATGTTTTTAAAAGTCTTAGAGCATGTTCAGTATGTTCTGCATACTGATAATTTAATAAACATGCCTTTTATGAGTGATGTAATTATCCTTTGCTTTCTTTATTTTCACAATTTTAAGGAGCCAGCACCATTCTAGTTTTCTTTAGGTATCTTGTTAATCTTGTTCATAGGGTATTTCATTTCATTCTTAAAAACCTATGTGATCAGACTCCCAGGAGAGCAATGATAAGTATGTAGGATTTTTCCAGGGTTTTTGTGTGTGTGTAAGATATTCATGATATATAGACCATTCATTAAAAAGCAAAAATACATAGAATGAAAGCTTTTCTTTAAATGGGGAAGTGAAAGGCTTCCCTGGACATTTCCTTCTGCCAGCTCTGACTGATTTCAGCATGTAGCTGGTGATTTTTGGTGCCTGTTTCCAGGAGCGGTGTTACACTGTGAGCATAGTGTGGGCCAACAGGTGGCGTGGAGGTTAAGGTGCTGGATCCCACACGTGGAGAAGGGCACAAGTGGCTTGAAAATCTCTCTGGGCTCAAGTGGGTGGACGTGTGTATGTGTGTGTGCCACAAATCCTGAGAGGAGACTGGAGAAGGGATTGCACCGTGGCCATCCCCTGTGGCAGGTGATTGCTCACTTTTTCTTTCTCTAGCTCTCCCTGGTTAGTGCACACATCTTATAGCAGAAAGAAAAAGAACCCGGAAAACATGATAATAAAATCATGAAAATAAAATTGCCATGTGAAATTATGAGTTTTTAGCCTAGGCAGTTCTAAATGTGATCTTGGTACTTAATTTTTGCTTATGTTGCTAAGCTGCATGGGGAAGTCCCCTTCATCTTGGTTGAATTTACCACCACTTCTTGCGGAGGCCGTGTTAGGAGGAAATCCATTCTCTCCTTGAGTTTTAACCTCACTGAGAGCAACAACTGTTTTGAATTCATCTTTAAGACCTCTGCAGGTAACTGGCATTAGTAAAAACCGTGCCACCAATACCATCAGTTTGTTGAGAAATCAACTATTCCAGTTGCATTAGGTTATTTTAACTATTAGGATCTTAAAGTATATTTCTCCATTTTAATTTTCCAAAACAAACAAAAATCTGTGAATGAAAAATGGGACATTGCAGTTACTTTGTGAGCAGCAATATCCTGATTTCCTTCAAAGTGGTTGTGCTTAGATGAACTCCTTTCTTGTTTGTTTCCTGTTAAAGTGCATGATGAGTAAGTGCTTCCAAGAGCAGTACTGTCTCAGTTGTTTAAATTGTTTTTAATCTACCCAGTGTCCTTTTTCCCCTAAAATTTATGATGAAATGGTTGAGGGATTCTATCACTCTGCCTGTGTTTTAACTCGTTTAATTGGGCCCAAGCTAAATATCCATGCTCATATGCTGAAGTCTGTCATGTGGTTCAGTGTGATATTAGAGTAAAAATTGAGTGAGTAGGCTGAGAGAGCCAAAAGACTTGGGCTTTCTGTGTTTACAGGAACTATTTTTAAGTGATAAACTTGTTCAAGTTGAAAAGCAGCTAAAAGACATGGTTTGTCTTCTAGAATTTTACAGGGTAAATACTTTCTCTTACAAATAAAGAATAATTTTACCACAGAAATTTTTATTGCATGTATATATGTTCCCACAAAATAGTTTTAGCATATTTTCAAGGGGTTAAACAGGAATCCTACGTATGTGTGGTTTAGTAAACAAAATAAGTCTTAGAAATTGAGCAATTACTTACTAGGCAGTGTCATAAGTTGCAGTTATTTCTTTATTTAAATAATATTTACAGGTCTCTTAAATGCCAAGCATTGTGCTAGGTGTTGAGAATACAACTTTTAGTCATGATTTTGTTTTTGAAATAGTAAATATTTTTGTGAGTACTTGAGACATTTGAAAAAGACATCTAAAACATCTTGATACTTTTCCAAAAACCAGTAAAAAATTGAGAAGAAATGTCAGAAAGATTTTCTTATTTTTTAAATATATTTGTCATTATTATTATTAAAATTTTGCTTCGGAGCACACATGCTGATCAGAGAGAAAGTAAGCCACCAGATCTGGGACTCAAACCATGGTTGGACATGTGGGAATCTAGCGTCCTAACCACCATGGTACCTGCTGGCCCCAGAATGCTTTTCTAATTGAATTTAAGAAAATATATATGTTCAGCTTTAGAGTACTACAAGCTTGAGAACACGTAACATTTGAGAAGTATGGTGAATTATAAATCCGGAAGAGACTGTCAGTTTTCAGGCTTTAGTGATAGACTGGATTGGTCTCCCTAAGCATAACTCTAGAGTACTAAGTATTAAGTATTTGAACTTGTCGTCTATAATTCTGGTAAATCTTTGTTTTAAGTAGAGAGGGTTGTTTGGTAAGGTCTGGTTATTTTCCTCTATAGAGAGGAAGGATTGCTGTTGAAGCAATAGTGATTTCTAAATATGTGTCAGTTACTTTAAAGTGTAGGGTATATATTATAATTAGAGAAAGTGCTGAAAAGTACAGGTTGCTGTATTTCAAGTGCTTTTCATTAATTTCTCAAAATTGTCTGGCTCCATGTTTTCCCAGAGAATTAAAAATGCCTGACTTTCATATATATGTAAATAAATATAGGAGTACATGTGTGTGTAACTGCTCTCTCTCCTTTTTTCTTTTTTTAATAAATTTAAATATGTGCTGCCTTACTCCAGCGTAAATGAACTAAATGTTTATTTATACCTCTGGTCCCTTATAGTTGTCACTGTTTTTGTTGTATTGTTAACCAGTTGATCTTTATGACTTCCTAAATGCTATGTCTAATTTCTGTTTCTTATTCCATCAACCAAAAGGAGTATCTATACCCTTCACTTTGTAGAATGAGGATATTGATCCTTATGCCATTCTTTGGGAAAACTAAGACTTAAGTTCATGGCATTAATTAAAATACATAATTACATAAACGCATTTACTAAGTTCAGTGGCTGAAAACTTGAGCCAAGCTGTATGAGAAAGGTATGGTGTAGATATGAAGCAAATCATAATGAATTTGCTAGACAAGTTCCTAAGTAGTCTTGTTTAAGCGGCTCAGGAATTGTGGCATCAAAACTATAGAAAAGGAAATGTAAATGATAGCATACCACTTGGCTCTACTGAATCATGAGAGTGCAAACAATATTTACTAGTGTTCAATGTCAAAGGTCAGCCTCTGTCCAAAGGACAGAAAATTTAATTATGACTGTATAGTACAAAATTTTATATTTCTTGCCCCACTTCAATTTTTACCTAATCTATAGTATGAAATACAATTTAAATCATAACCTGAGGCACAATGTACATATATGTGCCTAAAAACATATTTTTCACTGAACAATACCCTTTTCACAAACTAGTCACTTTACTAGAATGTATGTACTTTGAATATTTTCTTTTCTAGTTCTTTTTTAAAAAAGAATTATTTAATTTTATTCACCATTATTATTATTTTAATTTGACCAGAGAGCTACATAGAGAAAGAGGGAGGGAAAGTGAGAAAGCAGGCTGCAGGTATGGGACTTGAACCATCAGCCATGTGGGAGTCCAACACCTCAACCACTATGCCACCTGCCAACCCCTCTAATTCTTTGTAAAAAGTAACCCCATAAGTTGGTTTCATGACCAGATAACTAAAATAAAGCTCTATTGTTGATAGCATGAAAATATGAACAGAGATGTAAGATCATCTTACTTTTTCAACAGATAAAAGTAAGGTAGATGGGACCAGCAGAGGGCGTAATGGTTACATTGCTGGACTCACCTATAGTCGACCTGCCGTTCAAGTCCTGGACCCAGAAGATTGAAACTTAAACTGGGTGTGTGCACGTGCATGCCTAAAATCCTGAGAGGAGAATGGAGAAGAAATTGTAGCGTGGCCTTCGCCCCTGGGGGAGTGACTTCTCGCTTTCAGTCTCTCCATTTCTCGCCTTTTCTCTCTCTGTAGCCTATCGCAAAAATCTCTTAAAAAAATAAATAATGTAGGAATTAAGTTCAAGGTTTTTCTCTTCTTTACAGGACATTGGCTCTCTGGATTATCAGGGGTCTGTAGTTGACATTGAATCCAGGCTGAGGATGGAAGGTGTGGAACTTAAAGAAGAATGGCAAGATGAAGATTTTCCAATGTGAGCAATACTTTTAAATGAGAACAAATTTAGAATAAAACTTCAGTTTTTTAGATTGAGATGTCATTTACTAAGTGAGTTTTGGACTTCTTAAATTCATTATTATAGGGTGATAATTGGATACTGAGAAATGAAAGTTCTTTTTCAGCAGTTAGAATAATTCTCTTACATCTTTTCAACCAAACATGTATATAATGTAGAATCTTTTGTTTTTATTTTGATCACTGAAGTTTCGGCATTTTTGCTGCTATAAGCAGTGCTTTGATGAAGTGTTTATTAGACCAGAGTCTGGGAGTGGTTCCTGGGAAAAGGGAGCCTTTTGTTGACTGTAAAAATTTTTCAACTGTGTAGGATTTTTTTTTTCTCTTAAGAGAATTTGTTAAATAGAGAAAGAAGGATTTTCTAGATCATCTATCTAGCCACCTCGACATGTTTGCAAAGACGGACCTCACCTTTCAGTGATGTATTCATGCCTTCCTGGTTAGAAGACTTCGTAGTGCAGAGTGACGAGCCTCAGCATCTGCAGTGTGGACAGCCGTGGGAAAACTCACTGTAGCATGTAATGATGCTAGTGATGTAGGCATGCTTAACTCAGGAAATGTGGCCAGCATGCCACACTCTCGCTTCATCATACGTTGTATCGCTTTTACATGTGTTTTTTTAGGAGAGTAAGAGCTGTGAGGAGTTTACATTCATTTTTATGTGTTACATGTGAGTTATGTAAGATCTTTGAGCTTCAAAAAATTTCATTTTTTCAATTTCTGGGTTAAAAGGTATGTCTTTGTCTTCTAGACCTTTACCAGAAGATGATAGTATTGAAGAAGATATACTAGCTGTAACTGGACCAGAGAGCCAGCCTGGTAAGAACTTGACATTTTTTCTTTCAATGAAATGATGGCCTTTATGTTCTTTTTTAACATATTTCTTTGTCAAAATAATATTAATACACTGAGCTTTTATTTCCATTGTAGATAGCCACTGGGTAAATTAAATGTTGAGCAAGGCATCTTTAGAATGTTTTGGAAGTTTAACTTTCCCAAAACATCCCTTGGTTTTTGGATCGTTCTAAAGTAAAGAGGTGGGAGGAGATAGCTCATTATTAGTTAGAGGTGATGTAAGATCTGCTTCTTTTTAAAAAGTGTTGATACCTTATTGATCTCTTGCCAGTGATGTAAAAACAATTATGTTCAAAATTTAGATTTTATAAATTAGTGCTTTGGAATTGTGTTTGATCTCTCAAGAATGACAAAGTTAACTTTTTTTTCCCTCATACACTTGAGCATCTAACCATTCCTTCTAATATACTATATTCTTTGTTTTCCTATTCCAGGCTCACCAGAAGTTAATGGAAATAAAGTGAGAAAGAAACTAATGGCCCCAGATATTAGCCTGACACTGGATCCTAGTGATGGCTCTATATTGTCAGATGATTTGGATGAAAGTGGAGAGATTGACTTAGATGGCTTAGACACACCGTCAGAGAACAGTAATGAGTTTGAGTGGGAAGGTAAATGATTTACTGTTTTTAATCTTTATATATACATATGTGTTTTTGTAATGGCGTTTCATTACAATAATTGAAAGACCTTAAAACATGGTCATTAACCTAACTAAAATCAATGTATTAAAGGATTTTGTATGAAATATGTTGTTCTTTCTAAAGTCTGTATATTTATTATGATATGAAATCCTGCTAACAACTAAATATTTTCATGGTTTTCAAAACTGTTTATAGTAGATTTATACAGGTAGGGTTTATTTTAGTTCATTGTTCAGTGGTGTAAAATTAGGTTTTTTTTCATAGCTGCTCCAAATTTATTTTTTTAAAGAATTATTTTAGTTAATTTTATTTATTTATTTTAATTTAACAGGAGGGATGGGGGTGGCAGAGAGAGAGAGAGGGAAAGTTAGAAAGCAAGCTGCCAAGTCCAGTACTTGAACCACGGTTGGCTCTGTGGGAGACTAGTGCCCTTAACCGCCACACAACCTGCTCACTTCACTCCAAAACTATTTTAATTTTATGGCATGCCTTTTTTTCAGTTGATCAACTAAGGGGGAAAAAGCTTTGGAGAGACATAATTTAGGGATTGTGCTAAAAGTAGTTAATAGTCTGTGGAGGGGACCAGCAGGTGGTGTGATGTATAAGGTGCTGGACACTCCCACATGGCCGACTGCGGTTGGAGTCCTAGACCTGGTGGCTTGCCTTCTCACCTTCTCGCCTTCTCTCTCTCTCTCTCTCTCTCTCTCTCCCCCCCTCTAACTCTCTCTGGTCAAATTAAAATAAATGAATAAACAAAATTTAAAAAAATAATTCTTTAAAAAAAAATAGTCCGTGGAGATGGAATTCTTTATGGAATATTTTGGGAGTGATTTTTAAAGTACATTTGCCCAGTAGTGTTCCAGTTGGTAAAATGACCAGCTTGAATTAATGTGGACTCTCAGCCCCCACCTCATATTCTTTATCATTAATTATTTAGAGCTCAAAGGAATTAGCATGTGTTTTGCTTTGCATGCTAACTTTAATTAGATAATTGCTGTCTGTAGTGTCTTTATGTACTTGTTAATAATTTATATTTTTCCATCTTTAAAATGATTATTACTACAAATACATACTTAGCATTAGGTATTTTATCTGCAGTAAAAAGTTGTTTGCAATGTGTTTTGTTCCTTTTTTCTTTCCTATTTTACTGGTTCAGTAAGCAGTCCGGTAATAAGCAATATTTTATAAAAGATACTGAAATAGTTTTCTGCCTGTGTGTTTTGTCTCTTCTTTCTTTAATGCTGCTGTAGTCATTTCCGGGAAGGATATTTTCGGTTAACAGCTTTGTCTTGGAAACAAGCAACTAACATGCAGTAGGTTTTCCCTTCCCCCATCTTTTGGTAAGGACTGTGATACTAAAATTTGGAAAATCATTACTTCATTAAAAATCAGCTAAATTGCAATCTTGAAATACAAATTACACCTAATCATTGGTGCTTATGCTTTGGCTAATGTTAATTTAAATAGACTTCTGCATGTACACTCCAGAGCATTGTAAATACATTTCTGCTTTATAAAACTGATCTAACGAGAAATTACTGAGTAGTTAACCACTTTGTATCTGGTATTACAGTGTTTGGGAATTAATTTATATGTTCAAATACAACAAAACATAAAATTGGCTTCTAGATAGTTACCCATAGTAATAACTGTCAAAGGCAATGCTGTCATAAATAAAACCTGCAAAGGCATTGTAGGGCCAGTGTATTACACCAAGATTGTGATAGTTGTGTGAATTATCCTCTCTATCCCCTAATGTGAACTTACGGATACACATTGCATTGTCATTGGGTGCTTTGCTAAATTGAGCAATTAAAAAATTTTAAAACCAAGACATAAAATGGCCTCATATTAAAAGCAAGCCTTTTCCTCTGTTATGAAAGAGATGTTTAAAATTCCGCCAGTAGTGTAGTGAAAATTCACTGAATAATCTAGATAGTAAAGTGGTTAACGTATCATTTGATTTTTATTGTGTGAATGACCATTTGTGATTCAAAACTTTTTATTTTGACAGATGATCTTCCAAAACCCAAAACTACTGAAGTAATTAGGAAAGACTCAATTACTGAATACACAGCTGCAGAGGAAAAGGAAGATGGACGACGCTGGCGCATGTTCAGGATTGGAGAACAGGATCACAGGGTTGATATGAAAGCAATCGAACCCTATAAAAAAGTTATCAGCCATGGAGGTCAGTTACTGAAGATTGTTCAGATTTTTAAATGCGTTATTAGAAATCTAAATGCTTTTAGAAAAAAATCTCCCAAGACTTAATTACCTAATTTTGGAAGAATAATAAACATTTGGGACCAGTAGTCGGCATATTGGCTGTGTCGCTGGACTCCCATGTGGTTGACCGCAGTTCAAGCCCTGGACCCAGTGGCTTGAAAATAAAGCCAGACAGGGACAAGCAGTTGGTGTAATGGCTATGTTGCTGGACTCCCATGTGATCGACCGTGGTTCAAGTCCTGGACCCTGTAGCTTAAATTCACTCCGGGCGCATGTGTGTGCGTGCCCAAGATCCTGAGAGGAGAATGGAGGAGAAGGGATTGCGACGTGGCCATCCCCCCGGGGGGGGTGATTTCTCGCTTTCTGTCTCTATGTTTCCAGCGAGTGCATGTACCCTATAGCAAGAAACTCTCCCCCAAATAAATAAATAAATAAATAAACATTCTCTCATTGTGTTAGGACTATGACAGGTTTGAAGTGAAAGGAGAATACTAACATTTAAAAATCATTAATATATGGAACCAGCAGTTAGCGTAATGGCTATGTGTCTGGACTCCCACATAGTCTACTGTGGTTTGTGTCCCGGACCCGGTGGCTTAAAACTCACGCTGGGTACGTGTGCATGCATGCCCAAGATCCCGAGAGGAGAATGGAGGAGAAGGGATTGCGGCGTGGCCATCCCCCTGGGGGGTGATTTCTTGCTTTCTGTCTCTCTCCCTCCGTCTGTCTGGCGAGCGCATGCACCCTATAGCAAAAACCTCTTTAAAAAAAAAATCATTAATATATGCATACACTTAATTTCAGAAAGTTTAAGAGTGTGCAGTGAAAACTACCTCCCTCCCATCATTGTCTCTAGGCTATCCAAAACAGACACTTAATTTACTCATTTGTAGTTTATATATAATGAAATGCTCTGACCTTAATTGTATAGTTCATGAGTTTTGACAAATGTCCATGTATATATTTTATGTATATGTATATATTTATGTATATTTATACACACACACACGTATACCATAGCCTAACATTTAAAACATTTTCATTGCCCCAGAAAATTGTCTAATACTCCTTCCCTCTCCAGTAACCACTATTCTAATGTCTACTTCCTCTTAATAGTTTGCCTGGAGACCAGCAGTTAGCATAATGGCTATGTCTCTGGACTCCCATGTAGTCGACTATGGTTGAGTCCTGGACCCAGTGGCTTAAACTCATGCCAGGCGCATGTGCGTGTGTGCCCAAGATCCCGAGAGGAGAATAGAGAGGAGAAGGGATTGCGGCGTGGCCATTCCCTGGGGGGTGATTTCTCGCTTGCTGTCTCTCTGTCTGTCTCTGTCTTTTTGGCAAGTGCACACCCCCTATAGTAAAAACCTCTCAAAAAAAAGAAAAAAGTTTGCCTGTCCTAGAATTTGATGTAACCAGAATCATACAGAATGCACTACTGCTTTTGTTTAGCATAATGTTTGAGAGCTTCATGTTGTTGTATGTATCCATAGTTTCTTTTTTATTGCTTAGCTGCTGTGTGGATAAATCAGAATTTTCCTATCCATTCTCCTTTTCATGAGCATGTGAGTTCCATTTTGAACTGTTATGGGGAAAAAAACCTGAACATTCTTATATAAATCTTTTTTGGACATAAGTAAAACTTGACTATTTTTTGCTTTTTGGGGGGGTAGAGTTGTTGTCATAGAAGGAGACAGAGAGGGAAAATGAGAAATCACCCCACTTGGGGGGACGTCCACATTGCAATCCTTCTCCTTCATTCTCCTCTTGGGATTTTGCACACACATGCACACACACCCAACGTGTTTTCCGACCACCAGGTCTAGGACTTGGACTGTGGAGTTGTCCTCCACCGGGTGGGATCCTACGCCTTAACTGCTGCGCCACCTCCTAGCCCCATACTTGGACTTTTTAAACTGAGGGCTTTATTTACCTTATAACCCTGAACAAATAAATCATTAATGTTTGGTATAGAGAATTTGTTTTATCTTTTTATAGAGTACCCACTTGGTATATTTATGGGATATATGGAAATGTAAGGTTTATTTTCTTCTGTTAAGAAATTTACAAGTCAAATTAAAAAGCTATGAAAGTATAAATATAACTCCTATCAGTCTGTTGACACCGTATGTAGAAGTTTACCTACAGACTGTGTAAATAGTGCCAGAATGTTAAGAGTTCAAACATAACTCACTTTGCAGTATGTGTCCCATTACGGTAAGTTCTAACACAGAACAGAAGGTCGCATAGGTCAGGCAGACCGATTCTTTTTACAGAGTAATTTTTACTTAATTTAGTTCTGCCAAATGCATACTCCTGATTATTTCTATAGTTTTCATTCATCTGAAGGCAGATTCCTTGAATATTTGTAGTTATGTTCTTCTGCCTGATTTTAGTCTTATTCAGATGAAGAAAATGGAATAATCTGGATCAGGAAGTTCACAGACATACATTAATTTTACTAGATTCTAAGAATCAAGTTTTGAGACCTACCTTAGGGCTTAAACCTAGTATATTTGAAGATTAGCACTTTATTTTTTTTAGGGGACGATTATTAGGGCATCTTACCCTATTAGTTTATGACACTGTATGTTTTGTGATTGAGAGATTTGTGAAGATAGTGAAGATTCTAAGGTGCTTAAAAGTTCACGTTTCAGTGCATATATGAAAACGATAGTGAAGGTTAACGCACTTGTTACTAGATCAGCTTGGTGTCTGAGCATTGCCATTGAAACATACGTATCTTAGCTTTTCTTCACTGAGAATTACGTCAGAGATATAATCTTTTCCTAAATTCTACAGAATATGGGCATTATTGAGTGTAAAACTATCTTTCTACATCCTACATGGCCAATTGTGTGCCTTGAATTTCAGCGCCATTGGCTTTAAAAACTCCTGGTGTATGTGCATGCGAGCCCAGAATTGTAACAGGATGGAGAAATGGGGGAGAAGGGATTGCAGCATGGCCACACCTCACTGGGGGAAGGCTTTCTCCCCCTTTTTTCCCACTCTGTTTCTCTCTGGTGAGCACATACAATGTCTGGCAAATTTTTTAAATTCATGGAAAAATGAAATAAAAGTATAAGTTTACTTCAAAAAAAGAGAAAGTACCACATCAACCGCAAGTTACATAAGAGTGATTTATTTCAGCTATGTTATTAATATATCAGCTTCGATTATAGCCATATATTCGTTTATTTGCCCAAATAAGGCTAGCGTCTTAATTTTGCTATTTTAAGTAGTTTTCTTGTTATTTGTTTGTTTTGTCTTTCTTCTTCAAATTTTACTATTCTTTTTTGGGGAAGAAGAAATTTAAAGATTTGTATACAGCCATATAAGGTTTTGTTTTGGGGAGTTTTTGTTTGAGAGATTTTTGCTACAGGGTGCATGCGTTTGCTGGACAAAGTGAGAAATCACCTCCCAGAGGGAGGGATGGTCATGTCGCATTTCCCTTTCCTCTATTCTCTTTTTGGGATCTTGGGCACACACACATGCGTCCAGCATGAGTTTTAAGCCACCAGGTCTGGGACTTGAACCATGGTCGACTAAGTGGGAGTCCAGTGACATAACCATTTAAGGCTTTTTTAAAACACACTTTTTGGTCTAGAAATTTGTTGAGGATCAACCACTATACAATATACTTTCTACTCTAAAAAATCTTCAGAGTAAAATCATACTGGTGATTTTATCTTTGGTTTCTTTTTCAGGATATTATGGGGATGGATTAAATGCCATTGTCGTGTTCGCTGTCTGTTTTATGCCTGAAAGTGGTCAACCTAACTATAGATATCTAATGGACAATCTCTTTAAGTAAGTATATTTTAACAAAAATGGACAGAGTTCTAAGTTAATTAGATCTCCAATTTAAGTAAGTGAACTTAAACTATGTAAAAATGATGACTGTCTTAGTTCCTATCCTTTAAGACTTTCTTCTTTGATATCGTGAAACTATTGTTTAACTCAACAGAAAAAAAAATGTCTTTTCGTAACTGGAAGGTTTATTTTAGATGATCTGTTCCAATTTCTTTGAGGACATACTAAGTGTAAAAAAATGCTTCTCAGAATTATATGGCTAAATTACATTTACCTTCAGGAGCTCGGTGTAACCAAATTGAATTTGGTTCTGTTATATTTCCACAGTCATTATATTTCTTAGATTAGTGCAGTTTTGTAAAGCTGTTGTGCAGTTTTAATCATATACAAAGGTAAAGGAAGTATATCAGATCTTCATGTATCAGTCACCCACTTTCGTAGTTAGCAATTTAAACTTCATTCTAGCTTCTCCCCACTCCCCCATGTCATTTTTAGTAAATCCCAGGTATCATGTCATTTCTTCTGTGGACATTTTAACGTATCTCTAAAGATAAGTTTGAAGAATAATTATTATAACAACTAATGCAGTTTTTAATTGTGTTTGCTTTTCATTGTAGATAGAGAAAGAAATTGTGTAATTTGGAGAACTTAATTCAGTTCCACACAGTGATATTTAAGGCTTAAACTTAATTTGTTTTTACAGGTATGTTATTGGCACTTTAGAGCTGTTAGTAGCAGAAAACTACATGATAGTTTATTTAAATGGTGCAACAACTCGAAGAAAAATGCCCAGTCTGGGATGGCTCAGGAAATGCTATCAGCAAATTGATAGAAGGTAATGTAAATGGGAGTTGATGCCCAGCTGCAATGGCACATGCTGGCACACAGTGGTCCGCACGGTCGATGCTACCACTCTGCAGGCCGAGGCTACATGGGCAGCCCAGGCTTGATTTCTGGCCCACCCTAAAAGCTGGGCACAATGCCACCTGCCTGTGGTCCCAGCTACTTGGGAGGCTGAGGCAAGAACGTCTCTGCATCACCCAGACCTTGTCGTTCATATATATATATATTTACACAAGTAGGGGCCAGCAGGTGGCATAGTGGTTAAGGCACTGGACTCCCCCATGGCCAACTGCAGTTCAAGTCCTGGACTCGGCACCTTGTGATTTCTCACTTTCTGTCTCAATGTCTCTCCAGGGAGTACCCATGTCCTATAGCAAAAAAAAAATCTCTAAAAATTAATGCTAATAGTAATGACAAATAAAATAATTCTTAAAAAGAGGGAGCAACAGGTGGCATGGTAGTTAAAAGTGTTGGATTCCCATGTGGCCAACTGCAGTTCAAGTCTTGAACCTAGTGACTTGCTTTCTCCCTTTCCCTTTGTCTCTCTCTGGTCAAATTAAAAAATAACAACAAATGGAATTAAATAAATAAGTAATTCACATATATAAATGTCAAAAGCTAATCTGAATAACTTTGATAATGACTTTATTAAATTTTATTTTCTTTTGCCTCATGAAAATGCTATATCCATGTCTTTAATTACATTTGTTAATTTCCTAACAGGTTGTTATTTTCTAAAGATAATACTTTAGAATGTCATGAAGGTTATCAATTTTTATCTGTTATATGAAGAATGATTTTCTCAAAACAAACAGAATAGCTCTTTATTGATCCTTCTTTATTTATACCATGTTGAATACTTTCCTTTTTTTTTTTTTTTTTTTTTTTTTTTTTTTTTAGGTTTTCACTTTAAGGCTCCTGGAAAAACAGAGACAGAGAGATAGAAAGCGAGAAATCACCCCCCAGGGGGGATGGCCACGCTGCAATCCCTTCTCCTCCATTCTCTTGGGATCTTGGGCATGCATGCACGCACGCCCGGCGTGAGGTTAAGCCGCCGGGTCCAGGACTTGAACCACGGTCGACTATGTGGGAGTCCAGCGACATAGCCATTACGCTAACTGCTGGTCCCAATACTTTCCTATATTTACATTTTGAGAAAGTAGGGAGAATGTACTTCCCTGTTTTACTACATTCTGAGTTTGACCTAATTTATCATGCTTAAGCATGTTTTGCTTCTTTTTTTTTTTTTTTCTTTTTTTTGGAAAGGTTTTTGCTATAGGGCATGTGTGCTCACCAGAAAGACAGAGACAGAGAGGCAGAGAGACAGAAAGTGAGAAATCACCCCCCAGAGGGGATGGCCACGCTGTAATCCCTTCTCCATCCTGCTCTGGGGATCTTGAGCACTCATGCACATGCGCCCGGCATAAGTTTAAGCCACCAGGTCTGTGATTTGAACTGCAGTTGACTACCTGGGAGTCCAGCAACATAGCCATTTCACTAGCTGCTGGTCCCAAGCATGTTTTGCTTCTTAAGTTACTTGTTGTAGACTTTGGAATGAGTACTAGAAGCATATTCTCATTGTTCATGCTAGTCAAGGGAATTTTGAGCCTCCAATTTGTTTGACATGGCTATAGCTAATTCAAACCAGGTTAATCAACTCAGACCCTTTTAACAGATTTCTTTTTCTTTTTTTTTTTTTTAAGAGGTTTTTGCTATAAGGCACGTGCACTCGCCAGACAGAGAGAGACAGAGAGAAAGCAAGAAATCACCCCCAAGGGGTGATGGCCACGCCACAATCCCTTCTCCTTCATTCTCCTCTCGGGATCAGTCACATCTCTCACACGCCCGGCATGAGTTTTAAGCCACTGGGTCCGGGACTCGAACCGCGGTCGACTGCATGGGAGTCCAGTGACATAGCCATTACGCTAACTGCTGGTCCCAATAGATTTCTTTTTTTTTTTTTTTACATAATTATTTATTTAATTTTATTTATTCATTTATTTTAATTTGACCAGAGAGAAAGAGAGAGAGAGAGAGAAAGTGAGAAAGCAAGCCACCAGGTCCGGGACTCAAACTGTGGTCGGCCATGTGGGAGTGTCCAGTGCCTTAGCCACTATGCCACCTGCTGGTCCCCCCAATAGATTTCTTTTGATACCTAAACTTGGCACTGGGTAGCTCTTAGGATTCGTGTGTGCTTGTGTGTATGTTGACATACGTATATACCTCGGATGTGTTTCATGAGTTCAATTCTAGACCACTCAGTAAAGGAAGTATTGCGATAAAGCAAATCTGTGCAATATAGAGTTCATGCAGGGGAAATGTACAGATCTTATTTAAATTACTCTATTGCTAAAAAATACTAACAATCATCTGAGTCTTCAGCAAGTTGTCATCTTTTTACTGGTGAAGGGTCTTGCCTCAGTGCTGGTGGCTGCTGATTGATCAGAGTGATGGTTGCTTACCCAGCATTGGGAGTGACTGTGGCCATTTCTTAAAGTGAGGCAACTCTGGAGTTTGCCACTGCTATTGTCTCTTTGTAAAAGATTGCTCTGCAGCATGCAAAGTCCTTTGTTAGCATTTTACTTATAGTAGAACTTTCAAAATTGCAATCATCCCTCTCAAACCCTGCCACTGCTTTATTAACTAAGTTTATGTAATATTTTAAACCCTTTTTTTTTGTTTGTTTGTTTAAGAGGTTTTCGCAACAGGGCGCATGTGCTCGCCAGACAGACAGAGACAGAGAGACAGAAAGTGAGAAATCACCTCCCAGGGGGGATAGCCACACCACAATCCCTTCTCCTCCATCCTCCTCCCGGGATCTTGGGCACGCACACACACAAGCCCGGAGTGAGTTTTAAGCCACCGGGTCCAGGACTCGAACCACAGTCGACTACGTGGGAGTCCAGCGACATAACTGCTGGTCCCAAACCCTTTGTTGTTATTTCAACAATATTCACAGCATTTTTACCAGGTATAGTTTCTAGCTCAAGAAACTATTTTCTCTGCTTATCCAAGTTGTAAATGCAGAGGAGAAGTTCTTGTAGGAAATTAAAGTTTTACTCATCTATTAGTTTTTTATCATGAGATTGTAGCAACTCAGTCACATCTCCAGGCTCCACTTCAGGGCCAAGTCTGTGATGCAGCAGAAATGCACTGCTCAAGAGAAGCTAGACACTACATGGCAATGCAATTCAAATCCCTGACCCAGTGAGCCTGAGCACACAGAGCACAGTACCCGAGATCGACCAGGCCAGAAGAAGGGAATCGTGGCATGATTAGACCCTGTGAGGGTGCTCATCCCACACTTTCTCTTTCTCCGTGTATCTCTTGCTCTCTTGCGTGCTTACATGCATGCACACATTCTCTGAATAAAGAGAAGTATCTTCAGTAAACCGTGGCTGTAAACAGACGTCATTGTTCTCTCTCTAGAGTGCAGGCTGAGTAGATTTAGCATAATTCCCAAGGATCGTAGGGCTTCTGGAATGATAATGTGCATTGTCTTTGACCCTAAGTCACCAGTGCATCACCCCTAACGAGAGTCAGCCTGTGCTTTGCAGCCAGGATGGTTCTTTATACTATGGGAGTTCTGCGTGATGTCTTCTGAATTGAGGCTGTTTTGTCTACATTGAAAATTTTGTAGCCGCCATCAGTGATCTTAGCTAGATCATCTGGATAACTTGCTGCAGCTTCTACATTGATACCTGCTGCTTCACATTGCATTAGATGTGATGGAGTTAGTTTCTTTCTCTGTGCCTCATAAGCCAGTCTCTGCTAACTTCCAACTTCTGTAGCTTCTTCATTTCTTTCGGCCTTCATAGAACTAAAGAGAGTTAAAGCCTTGCTCTGGATTAGGCTTTGACTTAAGAGAGTGTAGTAACTGGTTTGATATTCTTCCCAGACCACTAAAACGTTCTCCATATGAGTGATAAGGCTATTTTGCTTTATTATTTGTGTGTTCACTAGAGTAGCACTTTTAATTTCCTTCAAGAACTTTCCTTTGCATTTATAATTTGGCTAACTGTTTGGCACAAGAGGCCTACCGTTCAACCTATCTTGGCTTTTAACATGCCTTCCTCACTGAGCTTGATTATTTCTGGCTTTTAAAGTGGGAGGTGTGCAACTGTTCCTTTCACTGGAATATTTAGAGGCCACCATAGTATTATTGGCCTAGTTTCAATATTATTGTGCCATCCCAAAATAACTACATTAGTAATACCAAAGATCAATGATAACAGATACAATAATAATGAAGAAGCTTGAAATATAAGAATTAACTGAAATGTGACTTAGGTGTCTACAAAGTACACACATGCAGTTGGAAAAATGGCACCAGAAGACTGGCTCAGTGCAGGGTTGCCACAAATCTTCGCATGGTAAAAGCAAAATGCAGTATCTGCAAACATAGTAAAGTACAATAAAGCAAAGTATGCCTGTATCTTTAGTGATCACTTGATGTGTAAAATATGCAAGCCAAATAGTTTTTATTTGCTCTTTTAAAAAGAAGAGGCCTAAGATAGGCCTTCAATTTTTAAAATTTCTTTTAGCGGGTGTATACACCTACTAGAGGCGGGTGTGAGAAAGCACCCCTCCATGGAGGACAGTCACGTTGCATTCCCATCTCCATTTCTTTTTTTGAGATTTAGGGCATACACTGCATGTGTGCCTGGTGTGTTTCTCCAGCCTCTGAGTCCAGGACTCAACTGTACGGTTGGCCATGAGTGATCCAGCAGCCTTAACCACTATGCCACTGGCTGACCCAAGTCCTTCGATTTCACTTAGCCTGGTTTTATCTTAGGCCACAGGAGTCAGATCTGACTCGTTCGTTCCTGCAGTCCTCTCCAGTTCCACCTTTCTGCTTGCACCGTACCCTTCATGGCGGTGAAGAGCTAGCACTACTCTCTCCCCAGGCTTGAAAAATGAAAATCGTTTACTTTCATATTCAGAATTTGCCTCCTTTCCTGGTTGACAGAATCCCGAAGATAAGCGAATGTATGCCAAGAGACATTTAATAACAGAGTATGTGTACTAATAGAGTGGACATAACTTTGGCCAAAGTAAAATGTATTTCATAGTAGTAAAAAAGACACTTAGGGGACCAGCAGTTAGCATAATGGCTATGTCGCTGGACTCCCACATAGTCAACCGCGGTTCGAGTCCCGGACCTGGTGGCTTAAACTCAGGCTGGGCACGTGTGCATGTGTGTCCAAGATCCCGAGAGGAGAATGCAGGAGAAGGGATTGCGGCGTGGCCATCCTCCCTGGGGGGTGATTTCTCGCTTTCTGTCTCTCTGTCTGTCTCTGTCTGGCGAGCGCACGCACCCTATAGCAAAAACCTCTCCAACAAAAAAAAGATACTCAGAACTCAAGAATGCATTTATTTGTCTTGAGGAGTATAACATAGCACCTAAATAACTCTTGGGTGAAATATGTAATAATTATTATTTTACATGAATTTGCAGCACATGTCAATACATAATGATGGCTTAACTTGTAGCATTAGAATTTGTTGAGGTTTTTTTCATTTCTCTTTTCTTTCTTAACTCCAGGTTACGGAAAAACCTAAAATCTCTAATCATTGTACATCCTTCTTGGTTTATCAGAACACTTCTGGCAGTCACAAGACCATTTATTAGGTAATTTTTTAAAAAATTCTATCATATAAATTTCTTGTCAGTTCTCTTGTTCAGAAATATTGAGGTAATTATTTTTATTTTCTTCCGTAGCTCAAAATTCAGCCAAAAAATTAGATACGTCTTTAATTTGGCAGAACTAGCTGAACTTGTCCCCATGGAATATGTTGGCATACCAGAATGCATAAAACAGTATGTTTGGTTTTTTTTCTTTCACTGTATTGGATCTTTATATTTTATTGTGCAAGAAGTAATATTTTTAAATATTCCTTTCTCCTCCATACATTACAAATATTTTGTGACTGCCCTTTTTGTATAACAAAAAGAGGAAGAAGCCCTTTTCCCATACCTTCGCATAAGTCAGTAGTGTCTTCAGACTTTTTGTGGAAGACCTAGAGAAATTAGTTATGGTTATATGTTTTATATTTTTAAAGACTGTTAAAGTCTAAGAGATGGTTTCCTAATTAGTCAGTACTAAAGAGCATTTTCTGTACTTGAACAGGTTGTTTTCCAAATAATTATATGTTAGAAAAAATATTATTTAAATAAGCCTAACCTTAATATCTTTTCAGTGACTAGAATTTATTCTGTTTAACAAATTCACTTATTTTCATCTAACTTTTGAAAGGACTTCGTAGAAGGCTGTTGACATAAATTTCTGAGCATCACAATGCTGTTATATAGAAAACTTTCTTTGTTTTGTTACTCTGTTTAATGGGTCAAAGCCAGATCTACTAGGTCAGTTCTTAATTTCTGCATAGTATACTAAATATTTTTGGTTTTGCCTTTTTTAAAAGTCTTTGTTCGTAACGTGTATTTACTGAAATAACTCTTCCCTACCAAGGTATGAAGAAGAAAAGCTTAAAAAGAAACAAAAAAGGTATATGCACACCTTGACTGGGTTGCATCTAGACTAGTCCATTTGCAATGCACAGACTAACTCTTCAGTTGGTTAGCTTGTATACAAAGACAATAGCATTTGTAAATATAAGTATACCCCAACTTCCAAATACAGGGTGAATTCAAAGTTCCTGATGCTGGATATGACTTGGATTCACTCTGTTGTACTACCGTATCTAGTGCCAATCAGGAATGAAAGGCCATGACCCTTGCTCCTTCCATTTTTGTGTTATATACTGATGGTGACACCAGAGAAATTACTAAGATTATTTGAAACACCAAATACTTTTGAGATTATTAGTTTCACCATTTATTTTAAACCTCTAATTTATGCTTTTGAAATATTTATGCAGACTTTTTTAAGGAGTCGATGTATTTCCCTGGGGTTGATGATTATATTTGCAATGCATATATTCTTTGGCTAACCAACATTGATTTCCTTGTATGCTTAAATTAAGTGGCCTGCTAACCAAGTCAAATTCTACATGTGATCAAATACCTAAAAGTTTAGTATACCATTTAACGGTTAAGTACTCTGCTTTCCACTTTAAATTTAATTTTGAACACTTCTGCTTTGAGCATAACAAACTATTATCTGTTAATATCTTGGCTTAAAGGATAAAAGGAAAAGGATATAAAATAGTTACCACTTTATCTAGCAACTTAGAAGAGTTTAGGATTTGTTAATAGGTTTCTAAGATACGATTGAGTTACCAAAACATGGTTTAATAGTCTTTTTTTTAAAAAAAAAAAAGAGTTAAGAGGAAAGATTTATAAGTAGGTATTTTGAACATTTTTTTAAGAGATTTTTACTGTAGAGCATGTGAGAAATCACCTCCTTGAGAGGATAGCCATGCTACAACCCCTCCTCCATTCTCCTCTGGGAATCTTGGGCACACACGCACACATGCCTGACATGAGGTGGGTTTCTTTTTAAAGAATTATTTTTATTTAACTTTATTTATTTATTCATTCATTCATCCAACCAACCAACCAACCAGAGAGGGACATAGAGAAAGCAAGGTGCCAGGTCCGGGACTTGAACCGTGATTGGCCATGTGGGAGTTCAGCACCCTGAACCACCACTCCACCTACTGTGCTGACTGGGTCGACATGAATTTTAAGCTATTCAATCTGGGACTTGAACCACAGTCGAGTATGTGGGAGTCCAGCAATGTAACCGTTATACTGTCTGCTGGTCCCTCACTCTGAACATTCTAAGGAACCACCTGAAACTGACTAACGGAAGGCTCTTAACCGAACCTCCTTCAGCTTTGCTGAGAGAGAGAATTCAGTTGACCACATGATAGAATCACAGCTTTACATTTCTATATGACACTTCACAGTTTAAGTAGCCCTATAATGTAGAAATGTGGACCGAGTTTAGGTCGTGCTGATTTTGCAATCCTTTCTAGGCATTTCTGTGCATTCAGACCAGGGTCTGAAATTCAAACGTAATCCGTAATTTTTTTTTTTTTAAGAGAGATTTTTGCTATAGGGCACATATGCTTGCCAGAAAGATAGAAAGCAAGAAATCAGCCCCCAGGGTGGATGACCAGGCTGTAGTTCCTTCTCCTCCATTCTCCTCTCGGGATCTTGGGCATGCACACATACACACCCAGGATGAGTTTAAGCTGCCAGGTCTAAGACTCAAACTGCAGTCAGGTATATGGGAGTCCAGTAAATACCCATACACCATCTGCTGGTCTCAAATCTATAATATTTTGAAGCCAGCTGCTTTATGGATTTCAAAATGAATTGCCATTATTAATTAAATGTACTATATTATGCCTTTTTTAAAAGTTAGTAGTATTTAATCAACTGACAAGACTAATTTAGGGATCAGGGGAAAAGTGAAACTCATACTTTCTAATTAATGTATGCTTGAAACATGTCACAACTGTTTTATCTTGTTTTTCTTGTTTTTGTTTTTTTTTTAAACTTAGTATTTAACCTTAAGTAGGATCACTACATGTATATTTTAGGCATGTCTTAGTTTTTGCACAAAGTTTCGTTAACCTTAAAAAAATTAAATACTTGTCAGTTTCAGGATGACAAGTATTTAATTATTTTTCATTAAATAGAGAAGCTTGTTTTTTAAATCCCAAACTCAAAGGCTAGGTGAAGAGAAGCTTATGTAAGGTGACATCTTTTTAAGTGTGGTTGCTAAGGAGGGTACAGAGCTATGAGTCTTGAAGTATTGTAGCACTGAATGTTTCAGATGTTCCTTTCAGTACTTGGTGCAAGTTTGAACAGGCAGATAGAGATTATTAAAATGTTTCATCAGCATTTAAAAATAAAGCAATCGTGAAATTGGTTCATAAGGACATTTCAGGCATTGCAAAGATTTGGGTGCATGCCTTATCAGGAATCTTTCAGAGTTTTTATACCAATAGAATAAAAAACTTTTGCTGTGTTCTGACTTTACACGATGGGCCAGGGTTTTTAGGTCTCATTCTCTAATGTTCAGGTGATCATACTAATGGAAGCAACACGAAAAGTATCTTATGTCAGCTCGTCTTAAAACATCCCTACATCAGTTCTTCAGACTACTACAGATGTAATAGTAATAGACTGTTGTATGTTATCTTTGAAGGGTTGTCTATAATTACTGTGCAGTAATAATGTAATACTTCCAGTCGCCACTTGCTTAAATTGTATACCTCTCTTCAACCCACCACTTAATCCAGTGAGATTTTTTTTAATGTATATTTAGATATTTCTGAATGTTCTTATGGCTTCTTACTATCAAATGAATGAATGGTATTCATTCACAGAGTAAGTGCACTAATTTTGGAAAATGTTTTCAATAAATATGCATTTTTATCACTGGGTTTTAAAAGACCAGTTGAGTAATTGGTATCATTAGGGACACTTTCATATTTCAGTTAACAAAATCAGCTTTGAAGGAATTGTTTTCCATGCCAGTCTCTGACCACTTGGCTCCCCACTGCAGGCAAGCTGCACTCCGACATGCTCATATGTACCTTGTAATTTGAAATTTTAAGAGAGTTTGTATTCATTTAAATGTAAGGTGCTTTACAATTTGTAAAAAAAAAAAAAAAAAAAAAAAAAGACAACAGTCATATTTTTTGTCAGTGTTCTCCTGCCTTTAAAAATTCTATCTTTCCTGGTTGGGGAAATAATGTCTGGTAACTTTTTTTTTTTTTTTTTTTTACTATGTCTGCTTCTTTGCAAAGCTTTGTGTTTAACAGAATAATCTGTGCTAAAAAGTAGTCATTATTTTTAGAAAGAAAAATTGTTCAGTTGCTCATGCCTTACCTGTATTTTCCATTACACAGAGTTGACCAAGAGCTTAATGGAAAGCATGATCAAGCTAAAAGCGAACAGTAGGTTGGCACCTAGTCCAGACAAGACAGAAGAGTGTGCTAAGGAAGAAGCACTCTTGCATTTGTAATGCTTTTAGTAGTCTGTGTTTCCATGTAATCTGTTACAAAATTGACTTGACTTTTTTTAATGGACTTTTGTACAAGGGACTGTTCACTGCTGTATTGGTTTGCAAATCTCTTGAATTTAGCTCTTTAATAGCTAACTATACTGTAATCATTTTATATTGCTAAATAGCAGAGAACCACAGTTTATATAAACCAGTTTTTTGGCATTTGTATATTGAATAATGCATCTTCTTCCATAAAATATTTATATGCATAAATGATAAAGGAAAGAAATAATATATATTTTTATGTTTTTGAGCAATATTTTTAAATGTATACCTGTCTTGTGTAAGAACATGCAGGTAACTAAGACCATGACTTTGTAAAGTGCACATCAGAATATTTGTGTTTGTAAATGGTTCAATACATTTCCTTTGTAACTTAGAAAGTTAAGTGCTCATAAAATGAGGGACAGTTAAACTGATTCTCATGAATACCCAAAGATCATGTACATAATCTAAGTAGGTTAGTGCCATCCCAAGGCTTTCTTCTCACTTAATATGTATTATTCCTTAATGCAGAAGTGCAAATACAAGTGCATTGAGCACTTTTTTTTCCTTTTAAGCTTAAAGACAAGTCAAAAGGCCATTTTTAGAACTAGAGAATTTAAGAGGCTAGGTATTGGCATTTGTGTGTATGTGTATATAGGACACTTGACCTTGTCACCCGAAGTCAGAACTCTATACAGATGTTGAGTTTGTTCACTAATGTAAAGCAAGCTGTGTCCAGGGTGTGGCTTCCCTGTGCATGTGAGTGCTGTGTAGTATGCAGCGCGTGGGGAGTTACCCACAACACAACTCTTTGTGTAGAAAACGAGCTGCTTTCCAACTGTGGGCCCTTTATCAAAATACATCCATATCATTCATTTGAACTCGGTAGTTGTCTGACCTCATCAGATACGGCGTGCGTCCCGGTTTCTGTTGAATTGTGTCTGAGAATACTGTCAATAAGGTTAATGTTGTACGTTTCAGAGCATCATTCTCTTGTGTTGTTTTGGATGCATATAAACTTGTTTCATTTGAAAGTACCTTTATGTTGAAATAAGTTGTACCTGTCCTTCCTAACAGAGCTTAATTACTCACAAACCATTCTAAAACAATTGTGTCATATGCTTGAGTGAGGCGTATTCATTTAGTAAACTTAATACCCTCAGAATTTCGTCACACTAGTTCCCACTCTTCTGCAGGGTGTTTACAAGAGAATGGCCTAAAGTAGCAAAGTTAAAATGGATATGAACAGACTTCTGAGATGTATTCTGTTGGACTGAACACACGTGTCTTTTACCATTGCCGTTTTTGTCGTATAAAGTTCATGTCACAAAAGGGAATTTTCCTTTATTTCTTGTCTTCCTCAATCATAAACTTGGAGTGCTGTCTTAAATCCCTCTATGGGAGATGCTGGAGGAGTCCCAGGTTGAGATGTTCCCCAGCAGCCTCCTGACTTGAATCCAACAGCTCTAAGCAGATCCTGATCTAATTTTTTACAGTGAATTAAGCCAAAGCTATTATTCCATGCTCAAATTTTAGAAACACTTTCTGTTGAAAAGCAAACTAACAGTAATAATTTAAGCATTCATTCTGAGTTTACGATGTGAGGATTATGAATAAAACATGTTAATTGTGATGAGTTCTGTAGTTGTGGAATATTTTAAGTAGTCTTTCGTTTATGTATCTTCACATCTCTCAAAATGAACAGAGTTTGGGTTGTTTTTTTTTTTTCCTGATTTGTAAGGCTTTTGCCATAGGGCATGTGCATTCACCAGAGAGACATGCCACAATCCCTTCTCTTCTTTATTCTCTTGGATTTGGGGCATGCATACACTCGCACGTGGTGTGATTTTCAAGCTGCTGGGTTTGGGACTGTAATTGCGGTTGGCCACATGGGAGTCCAGCACCTTAACCACTATACTACCTGCTGGCCTCTGGGCTGAGCTTTTTAATAGATGCTTTTCCACCATATTAAGCACTTGGCTTTTCAGTTTTGAAAATACGTAGTATAGTTTGAACTCTTTATTGTGATTTTGCAGGCATCATTCCTAACTGTAGATGCAACTTGTTGCAAACATGCTGTTTTAGTTCTACATATTTTTAAGTAGGAGCCCATATTAGAACATTAAATTCGGAGAGAACATTAAATAACACTTGTTATGACAAAAGGGATATGCAGTATATCACTAAACGTAAAAGATGCCTGCTTTAACTTACACCTTAATGGACTCTGGTATAGGGACAGGCCCACAATACATGTCCTTGATTCTGTGTCCTGCTTGACCCTAGGGCTAATCAAGCACCAAGGGAGGACATCATATTGACTCCACATTTCCGCTTCATAGCCTTTAACAAGGGATGAGGGGAGGCTACAAAGAAAGACTGTTTCCTTTTGTTTTAGTTGCCAGAGGGCATATGGGCTTGCCAGAGAGAACACAGAAGGGGAAGGGGAGAAAACACCCCAAAAGGAAGTGGTCTCACCGCAATCCCTTCTTTTCTCCATCCTATTGGGTTTGGGGCATGCATGCACATGCACTCAGTGTTTTTCAGGCCACTAGGGCCAGGATTAGAGCCACAGTCAGCCACGTGGGCTCTGGCTCCTTAACCAGTAGGCTTTCAGGCCTTGCCAAGAAAATGTCTAAGTTTTAGGAAAGAAGGATTAAGAGAAAAAAAACCTGTATAAAGGGATAAAGACTTAACTGTTAATCTGCTGTACTATTAAATATAATGTTGTTGAGTTTTTTTTGAGAGGTTTTTGCTGTAGAGCACATGTGCTTGCCAGAAATACAGAGACAGAGAGACAGAAAGCAAGAAATCACTCCCTAGGGGGAAGGCCATGTCACAATCTCTTCTCCATTCTCCTCTCAGAATCTTGGGCACGCATGCACACCTGCCTGGTGTGAGTTTAAGCCACTGGGTCCAGGACTCGAACCGCAGTCGACTACATGGGAGTCCAGCAACATAGCCAATATGCCATCTGCCAGTCCCAATATGCTCCTCTTAAGGGAAGTACTAGAAGTGGCAGCTGGTAGTACCGTTTCTTCTACCCATCAGAAAGACCTGTGGGCTAATACGGAGCAAGGAGACCCACGCCATGAAGAGGAGAGGCAGTAATACCTGTGATGAAAATTCTTGTTTTCCTCTGCTTTCTTTGTCTCTTCATACAGAAGCAAGTCTGAACAGGGAAAGGGTTAGCAGTTACAGTGCTCAGATTGAAGTTTAGTAGTGGGTTATTTTTACACACTTCACAGTTGCTAAACATTAACATAGTCTTCCAAATTGACTTCACTGTTTACACTGCACCAAAAACAGAATTCTGCTGATTGACAGTATGTATCACTAGCTAGAATTTCTTCAACTGCAGTTCCAAAATTTAAAAAGATAAGGATCTGCTTTTTGATAGCATTAATATTTGGCTGTTCATGTGAATGCTCAGGGGATTTTTTTAAAAAAAATATTTGATTTAATGCAGACATGGCTTTTTAGGTTTTTTCACATTGATAGAAGTGGCTCGTTTAGATTTTCTTTCCCTTGGTGGACAATTAACATTAGCCCATACCAGATACGAAAGGCCAGTTTGCTGATGCATTGGAAAGGTATACGAAGTGACAGTACGTTCGTCCTCCCTTTCCCATGTTACGTGTGGAGAGCTGTTGACATCATTCACTCACATAGAAAGAGGAAATGGGCTGGAAATAGAAATCCCTACACCATCCTGTTTCCTTTTCACACGCTGTTTCTTACCCTGTGTGACTGTTTAAGTGGATTACAGACAAATGTCAGAGATGGAATCAGTAGAGGAATCATGTACTGATAAGTTAGGCCTGTTTTTGCTGTTGAGTTTATCTTGGGATAAGGACTAGGAATTGTGTGCTTTGAGCTGCTAGAAGAGTTCAGAACTTAGACTCGCATGGAAAGCTGTGTGTTAGCTACTTAGTTTGCTAAGCTAGGACCAACATTACCCTAGGAATCATTCACCCCCTTCCCTTCCTGAGATTCTGAATTAATTCAGAATCAGATCAGCGGTAAGAACCAGTAAGGTAACTCCTTTCTAAATGGGAATTGGGGACCAGCAGATGGCATAATGGTTACGTTGCTGGACTCCAAAACGGTTAAGCATAGTTCAAGTTCTGAACCCAGCGGCTTAAAACTCAAGCCAGGTATGTGTGCATGAATGCCCGAAATCCCAAGAGGAGAGTGAAGGGATTATGGTGTGGCCATCCCCCCACCCCGGGGGTGATTTCTTGCTTTTTGTCTGTCTCCCTCTCCAGGTCTGAGAGCATATGCCCTATGGCAAAAATCTCTCTTAAAAATAAATAAATGGGAATTGAAAATACAGTAGTGTGTTGAGCAGAAAAGAGTGATGCTAAAGTTAAAAAAGTTTGTTGCAACTGTACATAATAGGTCTTACATTTGTTACATTTTGAGAACTAAAAGGGCTGTGAAAAATTTACAGGAAGCACTTAAACACCTGGTGGAAATAGTTTAGTGATTCCAAGATAATAAAAACTGGTATTATGCTGTTTGCTTCAGGTAGCTGTCTGATTGTATCATTTAAGTCATTCTAGAAGAGGTGAAAACATTTGCATTTTGGAATTTTTGTGTGTTTTCACATTCACTTTGGGTAGAGGAACTTGGGAAATAGCTACCCCACTGTACTTTTTGTGTACAGACCTTCTAAAGTTGAATGTCAATTTACTTTATTTACATAAGCCTTGCTGTTAAATATTGGTGATGTTCAGGGGCACTGACCTGCACAGCCCCTGGGGCGCACTTCACATAAAACATAATTCAGAGTCTGCTAGACACTAGTGCACTTTTATACATATTTCAAAACTTTGTTCACATCCTATTAGACAAAATAAATGAACTGTGACCTTTTTACTGTTAGGATAATGTTGCCTAGTCAAGTACTGTCATCTTACAGTGTGAGAAATTTAGTTCTGATGTCTGTGTGTGCAAGACACTGATGTGGTCCGTGTGAGAAATGCTAGAGGTCGATCATGATTAAGGAGATGTAATGTTTTTCTTTTTTAATTTGATCTCTTAAGAATACAATTGTGTCTTATGTGTTGCACATATTTTTGCAGCATTAATGAACATCAATAAATTAATTGGAAAATTTGTTTTTCTCATCATATTTTTCTGTCTTCCAGTCTGCTACTTATTTTCTTTTAAATTTTGTTGCATGAGTGAGAGAGACAGTACCCTCAGCAGGGCCTGGATGTCAGAGCCACCCCCAGCTTCAGCCAGCCCAACATCTCAGGCACACACACACCTGGCAATACTCACAGATCTCCAGATGCAAACCAGGAAACTTAGCGTCTCGTCTGCCTCACCGAGCATCGTGTGCCACACTACACCACCAGCAGCCCCTACGCCACTCACTGTAGACTGAGTTAGGAGTCTTTCAAATAATTTCAGACCTGTACTCTACAGTGTAGGTGCCTTCTAGTTTTGGGGCATGAAGAGTTCAACCTGCTTTAATATTCTCCAAACTATATCAAATTTTATAATTTATAGTGCAGGACTGTTTTAATTAATGGAGAATACAAGGATGAAATATGTGGTTGAAAATTAGAATGTGGCATGAATGAGAACCTCTGTATAGACCAGCTTAGAGGTTCTGGTTGGTAGCCCTTTTTTGGGGGGAAGGGAGGCATTTTTTTTTAAAGGTTGTTGCCATAGAGCATGTATCCTCCCTGGAGAGAGGGCAAGTGAGAACTCACCCATTAGAAGACCATGCACCAGGTCCAGGACTAACCCATGGTCAGCCAGGTGGGAGTCCAGCACCTTCACCACACCGCCTGCTGGCCCCTGCACTTGCTCCTTAGTCACCATTCAGCTACTTATTGGCACACAGCTGTGCATGCTACCGTTGTGTTTAATCGGCAGTTAGGATGCCATGTGCCCTGGCAGCTGTTGTAGACGAATTTGGTATTATGGAAACTTAAGAGATGGAGTATTTATCTTGCATATTAGAAATTTTAAAATACAAGTTCGAAATTAAAATTCGTGACCAATCCAACACTAAAAACTCACCGGCCTAAGTTAATTGCATTCCCATTTTAAATGGTATCCTATAATCATTTTTTTTTCTCAGAACTTGTAGTAGTGCAAGGTTTTCAATAGTGTGACCCCGAACACATCTCAGGTGTAAAATGCCAATGGCCTGAATATTTCTTGCTCACCTGACAGTGGCAATTGGTCTCTACAAGTGATCATTTCCTGTGGACGACGTTGTTAGTACACCCGGAGAATTACTGGGAAAGTAGGCGTGGCCATCGCTCCAGGGCTTGAAGCTCCCGCCCCACGCCCCTCTTCTCCACC